AGAATAGTTCTAAGAAATTACCACTAGAGTCCATTTCAACAACGAACATGTCTAATTGTAAGCCATTTTTGTGTTTACAACTACTGCTGCCACAGCCATAGCAACTCCGCGTGTCCCGCAATTTTCCGAGTAAGCCGCTAAAAGGTAGAATTCCCCAGTGGCGGTCCGTTTCTTCCGTTTGAAAAAATATATCCTCAGGAAGTTCTTTGACGCCGTATTTAACAAACTTCTCATAGTCTGCTTTAGGAATACATATATCTATGTCGTTGTCGAAAGGGACGTGTCCATTATGACGTGCAGCGCCTAATAAAGTCCCTCTGTGCAACCAGTATCTTATGCCATGCTTTTTAGCTATAAGATCAAAGATTCTTAGAATTCTGGTTAGGACGAGTTGAGCTTGTCGAAGCCGTGTGCTTCCATTGCGACGAATGCCAGGGCAGTTGATATCCCCTTCAGGTTTCCGCTCGCATGGAGCTAATCTTGTGTAACGCACAGGTTTGAAGTCGGAGTCTTTCGCAACATACAAAGACATCTCTGAAATCACTGGTGTTCCCCGTGGAAAAGTAAACAGAGTCAGTACTATTAAAGCCGTTGTAACTAAAGCCAATATAAAGACAGTTTTCTTTCGGTGGATGAAACGTGGATAAGTGCACCAACCAAACGTGTCGAAGGTGACTAATTTTCGATAAACGAATTCCATCGCGGACTTTTTCTGTTCTCAGGCAACGTATATGGTAAAAAAATGGTAGAGAAGATTTTGAAGAGTAATAATTACACTGCTTTGCTTGCAGTTTGCATTGATATGGTCAAGAAATCACTCTAATACAAGTCAATTATTCGGTTGAATGCCCTTTATGGTCTTTAGTTGTTTACAGTTAGGTCCAATCCTGTGCGGGGTTGCTGATCGCCGAGTGGTGAGGGAGTCTGGGGGGAAAGCGGACAAGGGGCTGGGAGTAACCTGCGTGGCAGGCGCGAATAGGGAAACTGAGAGGTGGGAAAAAACCGCGAATCTTATCTCTCCTTTTCGCTCCCTTGCCCTCTTCTTCCGACGCCTGCCAGCAGGCCACTGGCGGAAGCACAAGGTAGGGGAAACTGGAGCCACGAAGTTCACAGAAACCAGTCTATGTTTCAATTCTATGATTGTAGCCTCAGCANCTTCCATTGCGACGAATGCCAGGGCAGTTGATATCCCCTTCAGGTTTCCGCTCGCATGGAGCTAATCTTGTGTAACGCACAGGTTTGAAGTCGGAGTCTTTCGCAACATACAAAGACATCTCTGAAATCACTGGTGTTCCCCGTGGAAAAGTAAACAGAGTCAGTACTATTAAAGCCGTTGTAACTAAAGCCAATATAAAGACAGTTTTCTTTCGGTGGATGAAACGTGGATAAGTGCACCAACCAAACGTGTCGAAGGTGACTAATTTTCGATAAACGAATTCCATCGCGGACTTTTTCTGTTCTCAGGCAACGTATATGGTAAAAAAATGGTAGAGAAGATTTTGAAGAGTAATAATTACACTGCTTTGCTTGCAGTTTGCATTGATATGGTCAAGAAATCACTCTAATACAAGTCAATTATTCGGTTGAATGCCCTTTATGGTCTTTAGTTGTTTACAGTTAGGTCCAATCCTGTGCGGGGTTGCTGATCGCCGAGTGGTGAGGGAGTCTGGGGGGAAAGCGGACAAGGGGCTGGGAGTAACCTGCGTGGCAGGCGCGAATAGGGAAACTGAGAGGTGGGAAAAAACCGCGAATCTTATCTCTCCTTTTCGCTCCCTTGCCCTCTTCTTCCGACGCCTGCCAGCAGGCCACTGGCGGAAGCACAAGGTAGGGGAAACTGGAGCCACGAAGTTCACAGAAACCAGTCTATGTTTCAATTCTATGATTGTAGCCTCAGCAGCCGCTGGATCACCAGCACGAGCAAAGTTTTGGGACCTTGAGAAGAATGGGAAGGAGACGCCAAAATGGCGGCTTCGCCCAAACCCTCGCACGCGCGTGAAAATAATTTCCCCAGCTACGCAGGTCTCCATGATTGTAGTTTGCAAAATCGAGCGAGATCCAGGTGTCTACTGCACGATCCTAGACTGCGAGTAGTCGCTATTTTTCTTCAGATTTAGTGATGGGAGTGCACGCGCGCTTCGATCGCGAGCGGCAAAGCATTTCGCTCGACGGACTAGAAAAAAAAAAAAGATCATAGTCCATCACGATCCACCCTCAAACATGAATCGTTCAGACAATATTCCAAGAATGAATTCGTTCGGAATGAAACTGACTAATCGAATTTTTAATCGCCAAAATGGGAATTAAATTGTTTACAGGAACGCTTTTTTGAACACTCTACAAGGTTTGAAGTTGTATACCAGCCATCCTCAGTTAAACCAAATCACTTCACCGTTTGTAATTAATGTATAATTCAGGCCTTGTCTTCAGGAAGGTCAAACACCTGTCTTGTCACCTTCATCAAAGACTTCTTCGAATTCCTAAGGGTAGAACAGACGAGGGAGGGCTTAGTGAGATGGTCAATGTTGTAAGCTTGCTATTAACAATCTGTGGTAAGGTAAGTAAAATTGTGGATTAAAATGTCATTTCTGGGATTAGGGATAATTGTCTTTACTGACCAATGGCTGTCCTTGTTCGAGTTGATGAGGTTAAAATTGGTTCTTGCAAACTCGGTGGCGTTTATTTAGCCTCGCGCAATTTGCTAAGTGTAGACGAATTTTCCATAAACTGCATGAATTCCTATACACCCTATCAAAGTTCAAAATAGGAGAGGAAAACGCGTCGTTGTCCGTTCATAAGACATCGCATTAGGACGTTTCACGTCGTCGATCGAGTCGTACAGTGTTGTCTTTTGCTTATTAAATTCCGTATTGTTTTTTGACGTTCTCGTTGCCACCATCGTCTTGGTGGCTTGGGCTTCCTATTGTCGCTAAACACAAAGTCAAACGTACCATCTAAAGAAGTTTGGAAAGTACTGGTTTAAATAAGGTGGTACAAGAACTGAATGGTTTGCTATCCAGACTTCATCCAAATTGTTTGCCATGCTTACTGCCATCAACTTTGCACAGCGTTCAGTCGACATCAATGGCAAACTCTTCATAACGTTTGACAATACCAATGCATCAAGAGGCTAAAATACAAACAAATAATGTTGTATGCGGAGGTACATTTGGTCTCATGATACTTCGATTCACTAAACAGAATAAGTTAGAAAAATAATTATGTTGTTATAAACTTCATAGTGCTGATCAAAATTCTCTTTGAATTCACTCTCTTTTTTTGGCTTTAAAACGACGTAAAAAAGCAAATTCATCTCGATGGAGGCTAATGGGTGACTTATACCCGGAGATAGAGGGGGGAGGGGGGAGGGGGTATAACGGAATGTCTTTTTTGTTTGCCGGTCGATTGGCCTTCAACGAGTGGTTCTTATGAGAGGGTCTCAATGGGGTTAACCGATAGCCGTAAAAAGGCCAAAAATTTAGTCGATAGCCGTAAAAATTGAAAAATTTTAACCGTTAGCCGTAAATCGAGTAAAAAAGAGTTAACCGTAAAAGAAATTGTTCCCTAGATTTGCCACTTTTAAGGGAGTTACAAAACTCACTTATGGTTGCGTTTTTTATTTCCCGGCTAGTGAGACTCCGTACGTACGTTAGGTGAAGCGCCTTTTAGGTGTTGACCAAGACCTAGGCTCCATTTCCTCCACTCTCTCGGGGAACTAATTTTTTCCATAGCGAAAGTGTGGCTTCTTGCTGGGGATTAATATTTGCTATTTTCAGGAGGTCGTGCCCTCAAAACACTAGTGAAACAATACACAGAGATGTCACTGTTTGTAAAACGCGTTGCCGATAAACAATATTTCCCTGTTTTTCTCTGACGCTACGGTAGACATTGCCGTCCCTGTACGGCGTCTTCCCACGCAATCTCGGTCAAGGCATTTCGGTGGCGAACTCGCTAGGACCACGTGACCCGAAACGCATTAGCCGCGCGGAATAATGAGGCCTACGGACAAGGCAACGGTAGACAGTCGTTCCGTACAGTCCTTCGCTATCATTAAAAACACCGGACACGGGAATTTTGTTATTGGCCGTTTTCACGCTAGAGCTAGAGATGGATTATCCGTCTGAGACTAGCCTGTGTAAAGTAGCGCCCTCCTCACAGACACCCCTTCTCCTATTTTTTCTGAGGAGAGGGGGCGGCTGTACACAGGCTATCTGGAACGGATAATCCCGTCTTGAAACTGTCCGTCGAAATTGACGGATAAAGTCAGGCGGATTGTTCATTCAAAATTAATACTATTCCATTTTCAAATTACGAAGTATTACCTACCCGACGCGAATCATCAAACGGATAACCCGTCTCACACGAGTAATCCGTCTCTAGTATGAAAACGGCCATTTCTGTTATAATGAATGTCGCGCCCCGGCCTTGAGTTGGGCGTTTGCGTGTCCGCTTTTGCTTTTTCACAAAGATTATTTTTAAATTGACTATTGACATTTCTATGTACAAAATAATATTAGAAGTGAAATACTTCTTAAAAAGAATGATCTATCAAATATTAAAATTTTTCAAAAGAATAGTTTGTTTCATCCCGAGATGATCTGAAGACCTTATTTGAGGGTCTGGGTGGGGTTAACTGACAACTGACAAATGGCCAAAATTTTAACTGACAACTGACAAATAGACGAAAATTTAACTGACTACTGACATTTGCCTTGGGTTTTACTGACAAAACCAAAAGGACCTGATTGTCCGGCCTTAGTTTCTACACCCGTTTTTAAGACCTTAAATAGCATTGTTCCACTCCTTTCATCAGACAATGTGATCAAATGTGCGTTTTTAGGGGTAATCTTAGCAGCAAGACGCTTAAGTGTCATATTTCGTCAATGATTTTACTGTAAAACCCATGTGTGTCATATATCATCTGTTGTAAATGACCTATGATTTCAAATTTACGCTCCTCTGAATGGCTGATCAGAATGAGGGATTTGTGAGTCAGGCGTGAGAAATTGTCCTTGATGCGTGAGATCGTTGTCTTTAGTCCATAGTCGTACGACTCACGCATAATGCGTATCAATATTGTGATGTTATAAATTTTGATTGGCTTAATGATTGGCTGCTATGTTGGACTCTGGCCAGCAAAAACGTTTGAGTGGAGGAGAGTAACACAAGACTTGGGAAAAAGGAGGGCCACTTGAAATGCTTACAATAGCAAAACTGATTAAAAATTAAGGTACTATTGCATCAGTTTTGGAATTTAATGTTTAATGTACATTATATGTGCCTTTTAAGCCAAATGTTGCATTAAAAATATCCAAATAAGTTTCATAGCTAATCATTAATAACCATTTAACTGACAACTGACAAAAGCCCAACATTTAACTGACACCTGACAAATGGCCGAAATTTTAACTGACAACTGACATTTGTACTTCCCCCCATCCAGACCCTCTTATTTCGATTTAAAGATACAAAAAATACAGGTTAATTAATATTTAACTTTTTGAAACAAAGGAAGTTAATTTTTAATTTTTTTGTTAACCGTAACTGAAAAAAATTAACCGATAGCCGTAAAATAGCCAAAATTTTAGCCGATAACCGTAAAAGCCACCACCCCATTGAGACCCTCTTATGAGTGGGGGTGGGGAGGGGGGTGGGGGTGGGGCGCTTACAAGCTGAAGTTTACGGTATCTACCGTAGCGCCCACGCGGTTTTCATACCATCACTTCTGTATTGTGCACATTTGGGCCCATTCCCCTTGTTATCCTTATGAAGGAGACACTTAATTTATCTGTATATGAATTTTATCTTTCAGCCTAGAGGTAAGAAAGTCTATATAAATATGATAGTTAAGGAGGTGTACATACATATGCATGTTTCACATTTGTATAGATTCTACGATGAAGACGACTACGAGCACTAGATATTCTCAAAACTGATTAGAGAACGCGTGAGCCAACGTTCTTTGGCGGGGAAATGTGATAGCCGTCGCCATTCTACTACGGTTTTAATTATAACGAGAACGTCGTAGTCACGAAAACAACTTATCAAATATTAAGAAATTTTATTATTTAGCGATCGGGAGAGGGTTTTACCTCCTTCGATAGAAATAAGCGTACTAACTTTTGTGGTGACAAAAAAAGTACAATGAAGCTTTTCGGGGTGTCTATTCCTAGAAAATACGGAGAAACTCAGAAACTTAGATGCCGCCGTCATCATAGTAGGACGCGTCACCGAATCTGAACTCTCTGATAACAAAACTCTATCAACTCTGTTTTTTTTTTTTGTTGTTTTTTTCATTCAAGACAGTTATTACTCTAATTACAAAGAACTAATTAAAAAGAAACTAATTAAAAAATTCTAAACAAATCTATTTACCCTGTTGATGTCTTTAGTAAAGGCATTCTTAAATACGTCCGAAATGACAGGTCCTGGACAGATGATTTGGACTCCAATGTTGTACTCCATCAACTCAAGGCGAGCTGTGTCAAAGTAACCCTGGTAAAGAAATTAGGATATGTTCACACTAGCTATACCAAATAACTTTTTCGCCACCACAAAAATCATACCGGATGGGGATTCATAATAACAGTGAGGTCGGCGCGATTTCTGTGACAAGGTTTTGTGCCATACTTTGGTGCATTGTGAACATCTATTTGGCCCATCGCGGAAGTAAAAAGAGCGAGTCCTGGAACCCACTGAAGCGGAAGTAAATATCCAGGAGTGAGGACCGGAATTTAGCCTTGCACGAAACCCTTTCGGCCAGCGCGCTGCTCCGGCCCGATGTTCGATGTGTGTGAACGACTTGTGCCGCCCTGGGACGGCGTTCCTTTTGTAGCCTCCGTTGAAGGTTGTGTTGCAAACCGAAATGTCGGGCAAATATAATTCACCACTTTATTTTTGTTTTCTTTGTATATTTTTTCTATCACTCTTCCTGCCGTAAGGATCAGTTTACTGCATTAAATTTAAAATTTGGTATACTCAAGATTTTACGGATCCAGGTCTACTGAAGATCCGGAGGATCCTCACTGGTTTTTCATTGTGTTTTTGCCCTCACAAGTGTTTCTTTTTATAGCTATCTAATATAGTCTGGACATAGCCTTAATATCCTGATTTCAACAGGAAATAATTGCTATATTTTTACCTAGACGATAAATAAGGGGTGCCTTGGAAGTAGCGGTTCATGACTGAATTTCCATGAACTTTAAGATTCCTATTTTAGATGAAATGTATGCAATATGTCACTCCATATGTATGAAAGGGACAACTGGGTTGCACAATTCTGAAACTTTGCAGCACTTTCAAAAAATGCCAAAATATAAAGGGAAATATTTTTTGCCTTGTAGTAGTTTAACTTGAACCACTCAATTTTATAGTAATTAGAACGAGTATGACATTTAATCATCACTAAATACAACTACCATGATGTCTGCAAAATCAGGCTGAACAGGAAGCATAAACATGCAAAATTAACAGTAAAACAAATTTCATTGCTTTGCTGCACCTCTATGGCACACGAGGGGAGGAGGGAGGGGCAAAAAACAAAAGTCTGAAGAGAACTCTTGGGACATGAACGCATATGAGAGCAATCTGACGATGCTATGGCGTATAAATACTAAGCTCAATACCCGAGGGTGATACAAAGGTCACTAGCGGAAAAACGTGGAAATTTACGTATAGCGCGCCAGTCCATTTCGGCGCAAGCATATCAATGAAAACAGTTAATAATGTTAGAGCGATTTTCGTATGACCTTGAAAATGTTTTCAGTAAGTGTTCGTTATTTGTTTTATCAGCCAATGGATCAAAAGATCAAAACATGGCCAGTTCGTTTTTCTGCCATAGAAACCCCTAATATGGAGAGGGCATTGCTCCATTGGCCAATCATGTTGTAGTATGACGTCAAAGCGAAGTATCGGTTGATTTCTAGAAAGTTCTCGGGCATGAAGTTTTTTCACCCGAGCGTTCGCTTAACCAACCAAAAGCCACGCACGTTTGTATCTGTTCGATAAACTAATTGTTACAAATCGCTATATTTCCGTTCGTTTGTTGTTTCTACTTTGCTCGCGCGTATTCATTTCAAGGTCATACGAAAATCGCTCTGCCAGTCGAATACGTACGTGCAATGCATGTTTACTAGCAGAGTATGTATTGAAATAAGGGAACCCTGCGGGAAAAAAAAAAATGAAAAAAAAAATTAAATAATTCTAACAACACAAGCTGCATAATATAAAATTTAGCGTGAGAATGGAATTCAGCTCTAGAGGTATTTAATATGAGTTAATGTACTGATTGAAAGCAAGATTACCATACTTTCCAATAAGGCTGCTCACAATAACAATCTGTCCCTCACGGCGTTTGATCATGTGGGGAAGAATCGCTTTGGTCAAGGAAATAGTGCCAACAGTATTTAAACCCAGAATAGCTCTGTCGACTTCCAAGGAAGTCTTTCTTATCAAACTAATCTGTGTCCGCCCACCATTATTAACCAAGACATCAACCTGCATGAAAAGAAAGATCAGGTGAAGTAACATATCAGAGAGAAAGAACTTGATATTGACTGTACTATAATTGGTTGTTAACTTATGAGAGATAACTAATTGTAATAATTATTCATTCAAAATATTGCTCCGTTTCTTTACTTGCTCAAATGCCTTACCTAATATAATTCTTCATGATATCCGGTAAAATGACGTCCAAAGTTCAGGCTATCGCCCAAAAAAGGGACAGCAACCGAGAAACCCTGGTTATGGGAATCTGAGCTTGTGTTAGTTCATGAGTTTTTTTTTATATAGAGCTGGAGAAAATGGCAGAAAATTTCACACGTTTTACGACGGGATAAACTTCTACCTAAACACACAGCAAGAACAGCAAAAATACATTTCAACGGCTATTCAACTGCTATTTGAGGAATATCTGCTAAACATCGATCAGACTTAACCCTCGGACGTACACGAAAATTCATACCCCCACCGCGGTACAAGGAAGGGGGGGAGGTGGTTGTTCATGGAACCCCTTCCTAGAGTTTTTGATATGTTGCAGTATTTGGAAGCGATTTTGCCTTCAGTGGAAAGCCTTTGATCTTCAATTCTCAACAAGATGAGGCATATTTTATGGGTGGTAACGCTACTGGAGGCCTGTAACGTCACCAACAATGGAATTATCTAGGATTTTACCAAGAATTGGAAATCAGGCTAAAACCGCAAGAAATGGTAATTTTTTGTGCTTGTACTTTTAAGTTGTTGAAAGAAGTTGAGAAAACATGTACTTTCACTCAAAAATGGCTTGACCACCTGCTACTTATGACGTCATATCTCGTACCATAGCCATAGTAACTGATCATCACTAAACTTGTCTCAAAATGCGTGCGAGGGATAAACGAACAGCTACTGAAAACATCAGGTGCTGATGTTTTATTGTCAAAGAAAAACCTCAGGACGGGGTGGCAACCACCCCTCCCCCCCCGCCCCCTTTGTGCGTCCGAGGGTTAAAATCGATCGAGGTAAGCATGTTTTAAGTTTGAAAATTTCTTGAATGGATAATAAAACACTCACTGGATACGGCTTTCGTATGATCTGCATAAGTTTGTCAGATCATAAGAAGGCCGAATTCAGTAACTGTTAATTAATATTACACATTACCTTCACTATCACTCGTTATTATTATATTGCTAAGGGCATACAGTTAATTTTTGAAAGCAGCACAACCCTCAGATAAGTTAGGTATCTGCTAGCAGATACGATAACTGACTAATGTGTTGGTTGCGAACGGAGGCATGATTTTTCCAAGAAAACTGATTCAGCTGTATTACGTGAGACGTTTTGTTTGACGTTATTTTCTTTGAAGAATTATGTGTAATAAAACAATAATTATTAGATTCGAGTTTGGTGATATATCCGGTAGAATCAAGATCGAGACAAAAAACTGTACTCATGATCAGTTGACAACCTCCACCTAGATTATTTTGATATCCAGTATAGTATGCATGAACAAAGCCTCATTCAACGATTTGACTGTTTAATACTCATAGGTCGTTGTAATGAGCTTTAATAACTGTCAGTACCCTCGACTGGTCATAATATTTGTCCATTATATTGACCAGCCATTATTGCAAGCCTTATTCTTGTTTCCCGTTACCTTTCCAAAATGGTTGAGGACATCTTGAGCCAATATTGCATGAGTGTCATATTTCAGCAAGTCCAGAGGAAGAACTAGAATATCTTGATCTTGATTAAACGATGGATCAAGGGCAAGTGAAATTGCTGTTACGTTGGGAAAAGACATAGTATAAAGATCGAGCTCAGTACGTATATAATAAGCCATTCGCTTGCAAGTAGGATATTTATGTCGCTGAATTCCTCGTCAAAGATTGTTTATCTCATAGTTAGTAACTACTAACTATGTTTATCTCTTGCAGAGGTCTTCCTGTTACTAGTCTACTTTAACCTTTCAGAATTGATATAAGATAGACATGAGTGGCAAAATAAATAAATAAACAAAAATAAATAAAAACGTATGATTAATGCAGTTCGTGCGTGTGAGGTAATGGACATGCGCGGCGTCATAAGGAGATTATCTCATATCCAACAACCTCGAGTGGAATAATTATCAAAAACGCCCGCAAAATATCGAGAAATCTTCCCGACTTTATTTGTCAAAACAACCGATTTTCAGCTTGTTTTTAATTTTGAGCAGACGCGCACAGTTACCATATTTTGAGAGCATGGTATAATGGCTCATATACCATGATGGCTAAGCCAGTCAGAGCTCTAGAATTGCATTATCCAATGATTCAGTTTTTAATACCAACATTTATTTAATGTGATAATTTCTGCCTCCTCCTCCACAGGCCAAAGCACGGCCTTCTAACGCTGGG